AATGCTGGGACAGACAGACCATTGATGTGGCACATCTGTTGTTCTCCCATGGAGGCGGTGGGAGGGGCTGCAGAGGCAAGTGACCCCAGTTACTGACATGCAAGTTCCCAGAGGAGCAACTGCAGTGGTGGGGGCAGAGAGGGAATAGAAGCTGGAATGAACTGATGCCCCTGCCACCCTCACCTGGCACCAGCTTCTGCACCTCCCCTATCATCCACATCCCACCTCCTTCAGGGTTCTGATGACCCACACCCAAGTTCTCCAATCTGCCCATTAAACGACCCCTGCCAGCATCAAACACTGTGCACCACTGCTGTCCACCCTGCCACCCAGTGAGATCTTTTCAAGGGTGAGAAATAAATTAGTTTCCAAAATGGGGTGCCACTAAATTCAGAAAAGTTATGGAGGGGGTGCTTGAGTCTCCAAAGGTTAAGAAGTATTTCTCTAATGCATTTTTTCACAGTATAACAGGGGAAGAGCTTGATTTTGGGTAGACTGACACATTAATACTAAGCAAAATTTATGAAACAGAGATGAAGGTAACTGAAAGGGATGTCCTTCATTAATATTTTTTCTAGTTTGTCCCAACTCCCAATCTCAGAAGGACAAGTAATAGCAGACTTGGACCAAACCTTGGATGAAATCTTCCCTAATTAGTGAGAATGAGAGTAATTTTTTTCTGAATTTCAATTTTTGACAAAATTCTACTTCCTCCTGAACACAGCTTCAGAGCTTTGTTTCCCTTTCCTGCCTTTTCTCACTATCTGTGCAATCACTGATGTCTGTTGTTGCAGAGAGGAAAGAAAGAAAGCCAAAATATACTCAAACGTCCTTAATCCTCCTGACCAGTCCCCTCCTCACTCTATGAACTACTCCCACACACAATGGAAAGAATCAAAGGGCAAAAAATCTTGCTGCTTTTCTACCATTACGACCATTCAAGGAACAAAAATATGACTAAGTGATCTCAACTATGCAGTGAATCCAGTTTACAGACAATCAATGAACTAACATTTGTTTGCATAAAGCATTCATTGTAATAATGAACAATTTGTAATGCTCAAAACCTGTTCACAATATGGAAAAGGGGGCAATATTTGTCAATTAAACTGTTTTCCATGAATAGTTCACCCAATTCTAATTAAGTCTGCTAGTGATGCCCCATATGATTTGTTCAGGTTGTGTTAAATCTCATGGCCTGGGGATCACCATATGTTTTGCTGTTTGAAAATGATCTGCTTTGGCTTTTACAGCTATCAAGTAAACTACAGAGAAGGGTAAGAAGTGGAGATAAGCTGGGTTCTCCTGGGACCCCGCTGCTAGCTGATTAAGCACATCAGAAAGACAGGAATTGTACAGTGAAACATGCAGCTCAAGGTCAGAACTAGATGAGTCAAAAGCACTGACAAAAGGCTAACCTGCTAGGGCTACAAGGACCTCTCTCAAAAGGTACTATATGAATAGAAATGTGCATCTGAAACTGGATTTAAAAAGTAAACACGCGGCTGAAAATCTTCAGGTCTGAAATGGAGAAAATTAACTCAGAGTTTCTGTGTTAGAATGTAAGATCCGGAGGGAAAGAAAAGAACTCTAGAAGAAGCATGTACTGCAAAATAGAGTCAAAGCACAAGGAAGATGTGAATCCAAATAATGAAAGGCAAAAAGAAAAGAGCATAATATAATATCTTAGCATCTGCAGAAGTGTGCACGCGTGTGTGTGTGTGCACGCATGCATGAGCGCTCTGTTAAATATTATAATCAATAAACACGGCATCTTGCCTTATCCCCCCCCTCATAAGGTCTCGCTCATCATTTGAGCAACTAGTTATTTGTGCAACAACCTGAATCCAAGATGACCTCATTATAGACTTGGAAAATTTATAAATCTGTTACAAATTTTCCTAGGGTTGGTAAGCTGGTCAACTGACTTGTCAAATACTGTCAATTTGACCAGTCAATTGACTGCATATTTTTGACTGGTTAAAGACTGTAGTAATTAAAAAAAAACAAAAAACAACACACATTTTTTTTTGTTGTTTTCTTGACAGAAATACAATTTTTTATTTTTTTTAACATATTTCTTAAGGGAAAAATTGTGTATTTTCTATGCATTATTTGGACCTATTGGCAATTTATTTATTTATTTATTTTTACAAATTTTGAGCAATGTTTGACTGAACGTTATTTGACCAGTCAAATATGCAACCCTACATTTTCCATGTGTATAATCCAATTATTGGAGGGTCATCATAAATTCATCCCCACCACCACAGCAACTGGGAAAGCTATGGCAGGGAGGTGAATCAGGCAGTGGGGGGAGGGGGTAAGCAGCTTGATCCCTGCCCTTTGACTTCCCATGCGTTGCCTTTTGCTGTCTGCCCCCCTGCCCTCTGTGGCCTCTGGCCCCGCCCTGCCTTCCCCTCCACACTCAGCCTCAGGCCCCTGCCCCCACTTTCACTCATCTCCCTGCTTTCTGCAGCCTCTGCCTACCCTCCACTCTCAAATCTCCCCCCACCTCTGCCACTTACCCTTGCTCTGGCAGACTCTGACCCCACTCCAGGCTGGGGAACGAAGCACATTTGTACTTGGCCCCAGTGCAACTCAGTAGTAGCAGCAGCAGCTGCAGCTGAGCCCCAGACCTGGTGGCAGAGCTGCCATGTCCCCAGCACTGCAGGAACGAGGTTGGAGCTACAGCATGCTTTATCCATGCCCCCGGCTAGAGCAGGGCTGGGACAAAGGTAAGTGGTGGGGCAGAAGTGGGAGGAAAGACAGGGCAGAGGGAAGGTGGCAAGGGATAGCAGAGGTGGCCCAGAGGTAGGAGCCACAGCAACTGCCTGCCCCTCTGCCACCTCATACTTGATTCCAAAACAAGGGAGTTCCACCCCAATGTTATATGGGGGAAAAGCTTCATTTTGGAATTGAGTAAATACAGTAACAAGCTGATAAATACAGCCCTACCATGTTCTGTAGAGCCACTATATAGATGGTCATATAGGTCCGAGCAACATGAAACAGAAGCCTTAAACATGACGCATGGAGAAATTTATAATGGCTGAGTAAACACCAACTTCTAAAATGATCAATGTGAATGATCAGTATCAGGCTTAACTGATTTGATTCAAACTGGTTTATGCAATGTCTGTCCCAGACCCCTTGCTGGTTTAAGATAAACCAGACACTCCCAGCATCCCGGCATGCTCTCTCGGCTGGGTAGGGCTCTCTGCTCCACACCAGGGCTGGCTTCTCCCCTCTGCTCCCTGGCTGCAGGTCCCCTCCCTCCCCTATACCATTCCCTGCTAAGCAGGAATTCCCCCCCTCCTCTGTGCCTTTCTGAGGAGGTGTCTGTGTATTAGCTACCAGACCACATGCTGGCTATGGTTGGTGCTGAACCAACAGTAAGAATCGATAAGTAGTTGGTAATGTTCCTCTGTTGTTTTTTTAATTGGGTGATATACACTGTTATCAATTCCCTGCTGGGCGAATCAGAGCTCCTGCTAGAGCCTGGCTACACCCTCCTCAGCTCCATGCTGTGGAAAGGAAGGCTGCTCTAGCACCCTCTGGCTTCTAGCCTGAGCCACTGAAGGCATGTACCTGCATTTTTGGGATGTCAGTCCAGTTACAAAACTGATTTAGCTGACGCAGGTTAGATTAACCTGCAAATATTGAATCAATTCAGACTCAGGCTTTTTGAATGTGTGTCCCTAGTATAAAAGACAATGTGAACTAAAATGTTTCTTGGACACTCCAGATGCTGCATTAAGCACCTTTAACTAATACTTGATGCACATACCTGCAAATGCTGTCTAGTCAGTACCATTCAGATCACAGCTAAGAAATCAACATATTTCTGAAAGGAGAATGTCCTGGGGAGTGAGAAACTTAAAAACTGAATTCTTCACAGTGAGATGATTGGCACAGAGATAGAAGATAAAAGATCATTATGCCTGCTCAACAGCACACACAAAATGTCTATGTACCAGAAAAGCTATTCATGAAGTATTGCAAGAGCTGCTACCTCTTCTACAAGAAAACTCTCTTTATGGAAGTAAAGAAAACTGATCATTTAGATGCCACATTCTGGATTACGTAGCAGACCAGTTGTGATAATTTCATGTGTACCACAAATACTTGCTATTAGCATATAGAGATGCAACACTGAACCCCCCTACACAGAATATATACTTGATACAGAATTGATCAAAATAAAAGGAATGTATTATTCAGGTACGTGCTGATTTTTTATTTGGTAACTTCAAATGCTTTAAAATACAGTTCAAAACAAAACAGACTAGCCCCAAGGTATGACAGGTTTGGTTCTGGATTTATAGCCTACCTAGAAGTGGGGTTTACAAATTCTAAGTTGTCCTTGCGGCTCCCCAAACTTAAACAGTTATTGCCCTGCTTCTAGGACTCAAAGGACAGTGGAAAACTGAAATACATTTCTATTTAGTTTGATCTGAACCATTTTCCTCCTTTTTTCTTTGGTTCAGCCACAGAGCCAAACCTATTAATAATTCACATCTTCCTACTTCAAAATTTTTAAAACACAAGTTCAGGCCCCTTCAAGTTTCCCATTTTCTTTATCTATGGCAAAACATACACACCGTATAACAAATTGGATCTAATCAAAATGGAAAGCAGTAGAAAATACAGATTTTTTTAAATGAAAATGTACTGATTAATAGGATGTCTTACAAAAATCATACATCTGATTTCAAGGTGTTACAGTGATTTTACCCTACTCCTCATAGAAAGAACATTTGTACTGTGGAAGTTACAAATTAAAATGTAAAACTATGGGCAGCCTTTATAGGTGACAAATAAATGCAGTGATAGTAGCTATTTTGATGTTTGAATCTGTAAGAAAACTATTATTTTGCATAAGTGCACCAGGGAGAAAAAGCTAGTAGATGCACCGACTATAAATATACACAGTATTGTTACTAAATTCAGGACAATATATATAATATATACTTAACTCTGCTTTGTTTAATACTCACAGAAATACTGTAAGAAGGTTCCAAGATCACTGGTACTGACATCTTCCCTTGAAGATTCAATTTTGTTAAGTAAAAAATCTTTTCCCCCACAATCCTCTCTTTTTTCACACGACGTACACTGTACAGTCTAAAACGAACTGCGTAATTCCCAATCATCTCAGATTCAACATGATTAAATTTGAATGTCTCAGTGAAGACAGGGCATGGTCCCCGCTGGATGCTGGTTTTTGCTCTCTGTTTCTTTATAGGTAGAAGAACTAGGTGTACTTGCCATGAGTTTCCACCTGTCCTGTTATATGTTGGTATGTCTGTGACAGCTGTCACTGTTACCAGAAGCTTCTGTTCTTGTGAGTCATAGTCAAAAGTCACATCCAGTGTGCCATATTTAGCTACTGGCTCAGGATCAAAAGGTTTAGGAAGCTGTGAAGATGATCCTCGAGCTGACATATCCTAAAGAAAAATAGAAATGCTTCTTATTTATTTATTTTTGGTATTTTATTACATCTAACATGGAAATATATGGCTTTTTCTAAGAACATGATTTGACTAGGATCTTTCTGTTCTTTTCATAAACAAGATAATTAAACATCAAAACAAAAAAACAGAGGCAGTTGACTTACAGCCAAGAAAAAACAAGTTACTTCTAGTTGGCCAAAACAGACAAAACCCAGGAGGGAAGAAGAAAAGCAAAAGTTAGAAATAAATAAAGTGCTGTTGATGACATTTTTTCTAGCTCCACAGAGTTAAAATACATAACAATTCATTGTGAAATACAATCCTAATATTTGAGTCCAGTAGGAAGATTTTCACAATTAAACAAAAAAAATCCAACCACTTGTATTAATAAATGAGATTTAACATATTAACAGTATTGATATCTTATTTGATGGTCAGAGAAAACAGAGAAATGGACATGACTAGAACTAGCAGTTGTCCATACTCAATGAAAAGTGTACATGTGCACAACTGAGCTAATATGGCCTATTAATGTAAGTATGTAAAAGCTTGATCTACCATATAGTCCTAAATTAATTATTATGATGCTCATTTTTAAAGTCCCCAAGCTACTCTTCAGCTGTTCCCTTCAGGTATGAATGGAAATTTTAATATATAATTATATGGGGAGGACATACTGCTAACTTTAAACTTCAAATAAAATATTTTAATGCTATGTTTATGCAGTAAGCTTTTCTTCAAAAATGGAATAATTTCTTCTACCTAAGGTTAAGAGTAATTTGAATTTACTGTTTTTATATTGTATTGGTACTGTAGTGCTAAGTTACAAATACATTCTAGCTATGGAGCATGAATTAAGGCTGTATTTTTTTTACTTTATTTTTCATGGATCAGCATGTCAGATTTCATGGAACGTAACAGGATCACTGCCTTGTGGCCTCTCTAAATCCCCCCCTCCGCCACCCCTCTATGATGCAAAAAATGTTTCAATACATACATGAACAGATAAAACTTCTCTCTTTACTATGTGATTTGAGAAATTTCATTTCAGAGTTGTCAAGAATAGGGATAATGTGCATGAATCCCTCATTCAAAAGCACAACAGTTTCTCAGTAAAATCAGCCTTATGGAACTCCTACTGCAGAGGACTTTATTCTGATGTGGCATAATAGACAGATGAAAACCCTTGCATGTAGACCTTTGTATTTATCAGAAAATAAGAGTATATGTAGCCCAGAAAGTGACTAACTGCCACATGTGTCAAATCACTTGTTTAGGAGAACCATGGATGTTTTAGGGCCCTACTACATGTTTAAATTAAAACTGGAGAGAAACCAGCTATAGAATTGTTACACATTTTCAAGAACTAACTTGTAGCTGGCTGGCTCTTTTCATAGCTAGATAGTCACTTTTATCATGTGATACAGTAAAATCTTTGTTATCTGGCATCTCTGGGGTAAGGGGATTGCCTGTTATGTAAAAATTCTGGTTATCTGAAATAACCTGGCAGGGGTTTTCAGATAACATGAAGCAGGTGAGGGCGGGTGATGGCTGCATGTGGGGGGGTGGGGGGGGGCAGGAGAGCTTTCCCCTGGCCTCTCCCCACCGCATTGTCTGGCCAGCTGGACAACCGGACATTCCAGTTAATGTCTCTGTAAATTCAACCCATTCTAACCCATCTGAAAACTCACCCCTTATCAACAACACTACCTGGTTCAATGACAATCCACATTTCCCAAAATGTTCCTTTGTGCATGAACAATTTATTTCTGCAAAAAATAGCAGAAAGTCCAAATTCATATAAATAATGGTCACTTCCATAGTTTTTTTTGTAGATCTGTGATGATCATAAAAATAGCATATATACTCAAATATAAGACAAGGTTTTTCCCCCCAGTCAGCATGAGGAAGAAAGTTTCTCATCTTACATTTCCATACAAAGAAACCTCATTAAATGATTGTCTATCATGAAGCTGATGCTAAAAGCAGTATGTGCTTAGTCATGGAAGCAAAATATGTAGTTGATTAAATGCAGTCAACATTGCCCATATTGGCCAAACATGCTGATGGGAACATTTTTTATTTTTGAGTGTGCGTGACTATTGAAAAAATGGACAGGCGTTCTCTCCGCAGGGAACTGGCATTGGGTCTGAAGGTACTACAATACCAGGCCAAAATAGGAAGGGCCAGAGGCAGCCCTGATACCTTTCCCTTCAAGAAAAAATGCTTGGTCTTGCCTAAAAAGGCCAAGACTACCAAAGATACATTAGTGTAACCCATCTGAATAAGAAATGTCATTGTAGTCACTCCCCTTCAACACTGACTTTTTCAAGTCATGGTGAGCTACTACATTACATGCATTTTTACTTCCTCTTCACTCAGACAGCTGAGCTATGCCTTTCCTTCCCATTTCCAATGATTCCTGTTTCTTCATCCATAGGCGCCAACTCTGTGGGTGCTCCAGGGCTCAAGCACCCACCGAAAAAATAGCAGGTGCTCAGCACCAACAACCCATAGCCATTTTGATTTTACACATTAGATTTCTGCTTGCAGAGATTAAACCATGCCCCCCCAACCCTGCAGAAATTCCACCACACTTTACCGGAAGAAGCAGCGTGTTACTTCAACACGGCTCTGCAGTGTCTGTAATTGGGTGCTTCAGTGGGACTTTTTGATGCTTTTAGCTAAAGCTGATTCAATCAGCTATTAGATAAAAGTGTCAAAAAAAGCCAGTAAAGTGACCAATCTTTACAGACGTCAGGCGAGCTGAATTGAACCCCATGATAGGCACTCTTCTGGGCATGCGCGGGGCTCAACACAGAAACGTGCCAAGTTTAAACTAAAGCATGATTTTTTTAATTTAATTTTTTACATCTGCAAACACCCACCAACAAAAACCAAAGTCAGCACCTATGTTTTCACCAGCCTTAAATGTCTGGCAAACATCACAAAACAGGGCCCCAAACAGTTTGCCCAGTATCCCTCTGTTGTCCTTTTCTTTCAGCCTGTTACATGCGATTAGCGTGGCCCTGCCCTCCATAAGGTGGAGCCAGCCCAGATTGTCCTGCACTTCACCTACATATAAAATTTTAGAAGATCCCAGGACTTCACAAGAAAACCCAGTTCCAGTCATGAGTGGGGGGCTAATTAGCACATGGATCCTTTGTGTGTGTGTGTGGGGGGGGCATATCTGGAATATACATACATACTGAGCAATGCTGAGCTATGGGGTCTCTATCGCTTGAAACACTGTTGACTGTGCTGGGGCCCACCCAATGGACAATATGGTAAATCATGAGCCTTTTGGCTTTGGACTAATATCATGCATAGTTTGTACTATATATAAGTAGGTACAAGAGTGCTGCTTACAAGGCTGTTTATGGATTACCTGTGCTAAAATTTGCAGCGTAAGTCTATGGGTACCCATAGTAATTTGCTTATGTGCAAATTACTACAGGCATATTTATTTCAAAGACAGTATTTTCAAATTTGCTCCTCACTTTCACGTGCTCAGGAAGAGCAGGGTCTGACAAAGTGGGGGTGGGGGGGTGGGAATGAGTTACAGGAGAAGACGTTGGGGGTAATGGGCAAGGGGGCTATCTGACCCCCCAGATTTTTTTTCCCTGCTGTAGAAGTTGGAGGGGGACAAATTCAAGGCAAACCTTCAATAATTGGAATTTATTACTGGAAAATTAACAAATGTATACATTTTCTGTATATAGAAACTAATTATGGGGGATCATCTTATATTCAAGTAAATATGGTAATACAGGCATAATCATGGACAGTGATCAACTTCTAAGAGACCAAAAGTAGTTTTAAGGTTATAGAACTTGGACCTCAAAACATAGTAGGTATCAAAGTTGTATTTATTGCCACTTTATTTTTTTGGAGTTGAGGGAATTATAGCCCACTGAGGGGGCTGTTTGAACAAAGCCAGAACCTGAAACGAATTTCTAATACAAAGTAAGTTTGGCTGGAAGTGTTTTCATACTCTACATCATTAACTTCAACTCAAGGTCTGATACAATTAACAGCTAAATAAATGTAAGAGTTTGGTAAAAAGCTGTTAGTATGGAAGGGTTTTTTGTTTGTTTGTTTTTTAAGTAGAACAGATTATTACATTGTTCACATAACAAAACTTACTCTAAACATGTAAAACCACACTTTAATTTCTGAACTATGATATTACTAAATATGTGACTTGTTCATATAAATTAATACCATAACTTTCCATCTCAGAAACTGGTATGTTCTGTTTTAAGAACTGACACTGTTAGCTGAGTGCACATTTTAGACATCTACAATAGATATAGTAACATTCGATTTGTAAAGAATGGAGTTCATTCCTGTAGAAGTGATATGCTACAAAAGCTGGAAAGTGCCTATCAAGGGGTATTAGGCCCTCTCAACTCACTGATTTGAAGGCAGCATGCTAGAAGTTAGGGATATTAGAACCTGGATGCTTAACCTCTTGGACTGTAAGTAGGGGTGCACCAATAAAGATTTTTTTGGCCAATACTGATGGACGATTATTAAGGAGTCATATTGGCAGATACTGATCCAATTGCCAATATGCAGCCCAGCAGCTTGGAAAGCAGCATCTGGCTGGTACGTCTGTTAGCCGGGAAGGGGCAAGGAGTAGGAAAAGGGTATGGAGGGAGCAGATCGAGGCCCCTACAGTGAAGGAGGGAATGGGAATGGGGCAGGGGCAGGCGTTGCCCAGCCGGGGGGGTGGGGAAACAGTGGGCAGGATGGAGCTGCAAGAGGCTTGTCTGGGGGTTGAGAATTCCAGAGCTGCGCACACCCCCAGAGGAGCCATGGAGGACGTGTGCCCCCCAGATCCGTGTACAGGTCAAGGGCGGGCTGCTGCTGCATGTTGGGGCTGGGGGTGGCACCAGGCTCTTCCCAGCAAGGGGGTTGGGCTGAGGCTGCACTCAGAGTGGGCAGCGGCAGCACTGGAAGGGGGACTACGGGGTGGGCTGCAGCCATCCTAAAATTCACCATAAACCCCCTGTAGAGCCACCTCACAGTGCCTGGGCCCAAATGCAGCCCTGGCCCAGCCCCAGCCCAATACTGGGCTCTTCCCACCCCTCTTCCCACCACTGGGAAGAGCCCAGTGCTGCCCCCAGTCCCAGCCCGCAGCAGTAGTCCACCCTCGATCTGTGCAGAGATCCAGAGGGCACATGCCTCTAATACCTCCCCCAGGGGTGCATGCAGTGGTGGGAGCCACCCCACCCTCCACAGCATTTATTAACAACATTATTGGCCACATAAGCTAAAAAAAAAAAATTGCCAATACTGACAATTTTCCTTTTATCAGCATCAATACAATACGAACCAATGTATTGGTGCACCTCTAGCTGTAAGTTTTAAATATAAATAGCCAACTATCATAGGACAAGGGATTTTGAATAATAAAAATAAATCGATTTTCTAATGAATAATCACTACAAATTACAAAAAGGGGAAAGGAGAAGTTTACCCCAATTTTTTTACATTGCTGATGATAGAAGTATACTCAAAATATATATTTTAAAATCCAGGATTGTTTACAATGTGCTAAGATGGCAGGCTGAGCCCTAGGGCCCCCCTGTCAGTCAGGGGTGCACCAACCTGTCTCAAAATGCTGTGGTCCTAGGCATGAATAATATTAAAGATACTAAAAGAAATGTAATTTAAAATCGATTTATTGCTAAGCTATAGAATGAAAATTGCAATAAGAACAAACTGTTTCTATTTAGTCCCTTTAAATAATAATATATCACAATGCGGTTTCTATTTTTTACCTAATTATAAAATAAAAGTCATCCTGAGGAGGGGTTGCTTTCAAATTAAATACCAAAAGATATCAGCACACAAATAAACTTAAAACTACATTGCTATATTATTTCACAAAATATATTCCTCTCTTTATGGGTGATTTTTGCAATTACCACGCATTTATACTTTGTAAAATGTGTAACAAAAACAAGACAGTCTCAAAAAAATCTTACATTAAGATGCTAACTATATATGAACACTAAACTATCAGTTACCTCTGGGCTAAGGACAGCTGTACTATCACTGGGTACATCCTCTTCATATCCTTTATTATGAAAGCTTTCTATTTCATGTCCAGTGCTTCCCTCACTTGGGCACTTGTATGAACATCTTGGGCTGTTGCTACAGTGGGAAAATTCACATTTACCATCACCAACTTCAGAGGGTGTACAGGAGAGGTGAGGAGAACCACTATCATCCTGATATGGTGGAGGCTGCAGTTCATCCAGCGGAGGTGTTCTTCTCATTCTTTGAATGCAGTTTGCTGTAAATAAGGGACAATTCTTTACTTGCATATTTCCTGAATTGAAAAGATTTCTTGCATTTGGTTATTTACTGTTATCATACTTTAGAAAAAACAAAAGAATTCACATACCTGGACACAGCATTTAAAGGTTTTCAAAATAGATACGATACTCCTGAAAACATTTACTACATTAACAACCTGATACAACTCATATATTGTAAAACAATTATTCTTCAGAATCAGTCTCAATCCATTCTGCAGCAAGTCTAGTTTATTTATGCCAAAGATGTTATAATGATATAAAAGTTCTAGGCCTGGTTATGAGAGATGCCAATTCCTGCACCTGCCTTGAGTATAACCCATTTCATCTCCATATAAGTCAGCTTAATGGCCTCAATGCAGGTGGAGTGTTAAACAGTTCAAAAAATTAACCCCATTTTTTCAAGTCCTGATGGAGGACTTCTAGCTTTGAAGTGGCTGCAGCTCCTATGGGCTAGAATAACAACTGTAGTCCCTCCACATCAGCTGTGCAAAGTATGAGCAAATGGATTAATGCATATGAAGATCTGGAGTCCCCCTCCTAGCCTGCATGAAATTAAACTTAGCACACAGTTTTATCCAGCAAGTAATGAAGAACTTCCTTTCCATGGCTCATAGGGAATGCATTTAACCCCCTGAGCAGCTGCTCAGCCTCTGTGCAGAACACTGGGGCAGTTCTCACACAGAAGAATGTACCCACTGAATTTAACATGATAAATACCTTCTCAGGAACAGATTCCATTAGCTATTAAGGCCACAGACTTAAACTTGAGTATCTAGAAGTTAGAAATTCTGGTCTAACCACCAAAGCACACCAAAGTCAGCCAAAAGACTCCTGACTTTAGTGGGCTTTAGATAATGGCTCAATTTTGCTCAGCACCCTTGTATCTTCTGCTTCCACTGACACCGAATCAACAGATGGAATTGTTGCTCAGTGGGCATGACTACACAAGATGCTTACTGCAGAGTACACTAATTAGCTCTGCAGTAAATGTCACGAGTCTACATGTGCGCCCCTATTAGGCTGGGGTAAACTAATTAATAGGGCTGTGCAAAATGGCTGTGTCTTGTTTCAATTTCAGATTCAGCCATTTCAGAAGACAGTGATTCATTTCAGTGTTTCAGATCACTGCTCCATTTCGATTTGGCTGAATCTGTTTCAGACTTTCGACGTTGTTTCGGAGATTCGGATTGGCCAGGGAGAGGCAGGCCATTTCCCCTTTGGCTCCTGTGGCCTTCCCCTGCCTCCCCCCAAGTGCGGGGAGCCACAGGAGAAGCCCCCATGGCTGCTCTGCCCTGCACCATCCCCCACCCGGCCTCAGCCTAGTCCCGGCACTTTAAAAAATTTAAAAAAATTAAAAAATAAGCCCTGCACTCACCAACTCTACCAGTGGGGATCAAGGCCTCTGAGGGCTCATGGCAGAGCCCCACCCCACCACACATGCTGTGCAGGGCAGTGGGGGACAGCAGGGATTGACACCCCTCCCCCCCACACACGGCAGCTGCCCAATGCAAGTGCAGCTCAGCACAGCAGGGCACTTCGGGTCTCTGCATACTGTCTGGAGACTGGGGCAGCTCCATGTGTCAGCTAGAGCCCGGCACCACTCAGTCCCAACGGTCCAAGCTCCCAGACAGCACCCTGCCGAGCCACACTGCACCCGTGCCATGGGGCAGCTGCTGTGCAGGTACCGGGGGGGGGGGGGAGCGCGATCCTCACTGCCCCACGCTGTGCAGGAGGACTATGCCACAAGTCCTCAAAGGCCCCGATCCCCACTGCTGCAGCTGGTAAGTGCAGGGGTTTTTTTGTTGGGTTTTTTTTTTTAACGTGCTAGGATGCTGGGGCCATCAGGGGTGGGGCTGGGTGGTAGGGGAAAGAGAGATCAGGGAGTAGGGGCTGCGCAGAGGGGGCTCTGCCACATGGCCCCGCCACATGGCCCCAGAGCCCCTGCTATAGAGAGTGAGTGTGGGGCTTTTTTTTAAGTGCTGGGAGGCTGCACCACACAGGGAAGCTCTGGGGGCTTCTCTCATGGTTCCCCCGGCTGTGCTCAGCGTGGGCTGCACCGAACAGACTCGAATGCTGGCGCTGGCCCCAGCCAGCAGCATGCTGTCATCCCGCACACAGATCGGGGGGCCTGTGGTCCCCAGGAGGGCTGCAAGGCTGTGCCAGACTCCTCCCAGGAGGTGCAGGCTCCCGGATCTGCGCACAGGATGATAGTAGGCTGCCATCCCTCCCCCAGAGCATTGAGATTGGAAGGGACCTCAGGGACAGATCACAGACACTGGCCAGCTAAGGATGTCAAGCTCAGAGCAGTCCTTCCTCACCCTGCTCTTCCTCCTCACTCTTCTTAGTTTCTGTTTCCCTGCAAGCCCAGCTCCAAAACATTTCTGAAATTTTTTGGATGGGTTCGTTTTGTTTCAGAGACGTTTCTGAGCCTTCCGTTTTGTTTCGGTGTTTCAGGCGCTGAAGCAGGCCAAAATACCTCTAAATCGAAATGTCTGCCGAAATTTCGCACAGCCCTACTAATCAACTCTGAAGCAGGTTAACTAATTCTGAATACAAGTACTATCTTGCTGTGGAGTTTCTTACTCTGCAGCAGCACACGTTCAGATGCTGCCCCAGGGGGCTGGGGCACAAGGGTGCTTCAATGCAAGGGGTGCCTGCCGGCTAGCCCTGCACTGGAGCGCCCTCGTGCAGCATGTTGAGGCAGGGGGAATAGCCCCAGGCTGGCAGGCTGAGCCCCGGGGCCCCCTGTCAGGCAGGGCTGCACCAAGCCATCTCAAAATGCTGCGGTCCCAGGCACACATTCAAATCATTTACTGGGGAGCAATAAACTCTGGAGCAATAAGCTCAGGAATTCATTGCTTCACATTGCTTTAGTTGCATGTGTAGACGTTCAGTAAGTTGTAAATTAAAACCAAGGTGCCTAATTTTAGGCACTTAATTTTTTAATTTTGGTTTTATACTTTATTACTTGGCACTACAAAGTAAGCTGGTGGGGTGCAAATAAAATATAGCATACATTAGCAGAAGTGGAAGAAATCTCAAGCATACAGATAAAATATGTTCTGGAGCTGTTATGGGCAGTGAAGGCATTTTAAAGTGTGTATCACACCGGTCATAAAAGTAACCGATGCAACTAATACAAAAAAAAAAACCAACAGAAGTCATGGCAACATTTTTATAATTCATTTTATAAGAATCTATCAGATTATGGGGTTAATGAGACTGCAATGTTAAACAGCACAAGCTTTAAATTCAAATGCAACCACCTTGGAGACTAGATTCTTCTTCACGTATGACTGTTTATCAGGGGAAGTGCCTAAAATTAAACCTCCTACTTTAAATCACAAGGAAGCTAGAGACAGGACTTTTCACCAAGGGACTCTCAAATTATTCATAGATTTCATACATATTAGAGCTGGAAGGGACCTCGCAAGATCATCGGGTCCAGCCTCCTGCCCAAAGGGCAGGAAGGCAGCTAGGGTCAAAGGATCTCAGCAAGATAGACATCTAAATGTTTCCTGAAGGTGTCCAGAGTAGGTGCTTGCCCCACCTCTGGAGGGAGTGTATTCCAGGTGCTGGGGACTCAGACAGTAAAAAAGTTTTTCCTTATGTCCAACCTAAAACGGTCTTCCAGGAGTTTGTAACTGTTGGACCTTGTCTTCCCATGGGGTGCCCTTATGAACAGACATTCTCCCAGTTCCTGATGCACACCTCTTATGTACTTATAGGATGCCACCAAGTCCCCTCTGAGCCTATGCTTCTCCAGGATGAAGAGTCCCATAGCTCTCAGCCTCTCTTCATAAGGCCTGTTCTCTTGCCCTCTGATCATGCATGTGGCTCTCCTCTGGACTCTTTCAAGCTTCTCTACATCCTTTCTGAATTGTGGAGCCCAGAGTTGGACACAGTCAAAATTATTATTTCTTCCTTCATTTACCAGAGCCTTAAAAATTGTTCACTTTTCTCACTATACAGAAATGTATTTTATGTTGTGAGGAAAGATAAGGCTCCGCTCACGCTTCCTTTGGTGGATGCTTACCCAATTGCTATAAGAAGACTCAAATGCTAAATCCCACAAAATCTTAGCTTGTTCAAGGTGGGCAGAGTTTAGAGACTGTTCTTGGCTTTGGACTGGTAAGCATGCATGCCAGGTATCATTAGGGATCAGGGTGTGGGCAATCAGGGATGGTCCCCTGACACACAGGTAAAGTCCAGGGACTGGGTTCCAAGGGAGCTGTGAGTCAGGATATGCCACAAGTTGGAACTCAAGTCAGGAGACAAAGCTGGCGTCAGGATATGCCAAGAGTTAAAACCTGAGATCTGTAAGTGAAGCAAGGAAGAGCACCAGGGTCAAGAGTAAGTGCCTAAATCTTTTCCTGGACAGAGTATTGCAGGCTGGATCTAGCTTTTAAAGCAGAGGTGGGCAATTATTTCAGCTGAAGGGCCACTTAATGAGTTTTGGTAAGCTGTTGAGGGCCACAGACATAAAATCTTTCATAAGATATCATTTTAACAAAGTATAGATAAAACACAAATCATATGCTAAAAATCAAACATCTACTATAACAAATTTTAATCACCCAGCATGATAAGCTGCCATCTGTGGGTGGTGGAGTGGGTAGAAGGAGGCTGGAAGCTGGAGCCCTGTGCGCTAGGGCAGTGGCCACCTGGCTGGGCATGTGGTGCCTCCACGGCCTTTGCCCTTCCCCATGCTACCTGCTGCCCAAAATGGCACAGCAGGGGCAGAAGGAGAAAGAGCCACTGGAGGCAGGGGGAACCGAGCAGTACCTGGGCAGCTGCAGCCACAGCAGGAGTAGCCCTGCCAGGAAGCTGTGCACACTGGCTGGGGCAAGGGCTGGGCTGCCCTGGGCAGGGCTCAACTCTATGGGGAGCACCGGGGGGAAGCTGCAGACTAGATACAAGCAATTGGTGGGTGTCCAGCTGCAGGCCAGATCTAATCAGTTTGCTGGTCAGATCT